ATCATTCAAAATAATTAAGAGTTGGGATCATTTCATGGGAAAACTCAATGTTAACGCAAAGGCTAAAAAGATCATTGAGAACTTGATGGCATTATATTTCTATCTTTATATTATTATGTTATATTTCTATTTGTATCATATGTAATTATTTTAAAAAGCAAACAGTCCATTCAATGCAAAATGGCCTATTCAAATCATTAAAAGAGAATTATTGTCGAAAAGAAACGTAAAAGCAATTTCCGCGCTATTGCGTTTTCTCACAAATTTCTCACAAATTGGTTGTCGCCAAGAAAGTCAGTTTTATATATTTTTGGCAAAAGCTTTTGATGGATATTCTTTGGAATGCCGGTTTTTTACCCATTGAAGATTTTATTATGATTGGTTTACATCATGTCATTTGTGCATTTGGCTTGATAATTTGTTCATTTTTGTTGCTATTGATCACTTTTGGAACTCCCGATTGGCTGAAAACCTATTCAGTATTGATTGCTAATGCCACGATCATTGATTTAGTCACTGGGATGCTCAATTTGTTTGTTATGTTGAGGTAATTTATGAGTTGTTGTCAAAGCTGGCTGGCTGGCTTTGACCTGGCTTTGTCAAAGCTGGATAGCTGGCTAATACTTTTGTGTGGTTTGTGCTCCTCAACTGAAACACAGCCTTTCTGTCTGTGCACACTCAAAATTCCATTTTTAGGTGAAAACAGTCCAGTTTCTCAAGAAAATTGAAGAGTTAGTGCACCAGAAAGGATGCGTTTCCGTTTTTGAAAACCCAAAGTATATGAAGAAGCAGGGTCGTAGCCAGAATTTCGGTGTTCTTGGGAGAATCACTAGAGCTTTGTCCAGAAGCGTCCAATCAATTTACACCCAAAGAAGAAAATTTAGCGAAATCTTCAGGCTAAATCATGGCTACAATGGAGTTTTCCTAACATGAAATTCACTGGGAAAAATTGGCATTTTTGTGAAAAGATTTAGGGTGATGGGGGGAGGGTGGAGGTTGGATTCTAGACCTAGACCTAGATTCTAGACAGATTCTAGACCCTTAGCCGTTATCTAGAATACTTCTAACCACTGCCAACTAATTCTCCGTGTCGGTTTACATAAGGCTGTTGAGGTAAAAATTCGACTTAAAGCTTGTGGAGCGAGCTAGAGGGGCTCAAAGTTGGGTTGTCATCGCCTTTTTTGTGTCCTTAACTTTGAGTCCCCCTAGCTCGCTCTACAAGCTTTAAATCGGATTTTTAGCTTACGTATTCTATGTAAACAAACACGGAGAATCGATTGGTGGCAGTTAAAAGTTTCCTAGATAACGGCTAAGGTCTAAAATCGGCTAAGGGTCTAAAACCTCTCTCCGCCCCTCCAAAATCCTCTCACAAAAATCCAAACTTTTCCGAATGAATTTCATGCTAGAAAGATTTTAATGGAGCCATGGTGTAGCCTGAAGATTTAGCTAAATTTTCTTCTTTGGGTGTAAATTGATTGGACGCTTCTGGACAAAGCTCTAGTGATTCTCCCCAAACACCGAAATTCTGGCTACGGCCCAGCCAAGGCCTTCAATTTTTGCCTCTCTGGGCTTTAATTTTTGCTTTTCACTGTTAAATCGTGATGCCAAGAAGTGTTTTTTCAGATTAATCCCCAGAGGTTTCTCTCTTTTTTATATCTCTTATGGATACTGCACTTTACTCGGCTCTGAAGCTTGTTATATCGGAATCAGCTCTCTTTTGGCTCTCATTAATTCAGGGCTCTACGCTCTTTGTTTTTCATTTCTTTATCGCTATGCGGTGCTCATTCGGTCGGTAGGTAACTTGCTGAGAATTCAAACAACAGTTCCTAGGCAATGTTTTTCCCATTTCCAGGTCCACGGGCAAAGATCAACGCTTGTTTTGATTTGTTTAGCATTGACTTTACCGTGCGTTTTTCAAGCGGTAGGTGTCGCTCGGAATCACTTCTTTCAATCATAATCAAATTGCGTTCCTCTCGACTAATTCGCTTTCTAAAAAGCACCTATTTTTAGTAAGCTATCGTAATCAAACTGCCAGTTTACTATTTTGGTATGATTGGCTGAGGCTTGTGATTGAAGTTGAAGAGTTAAATGATATCAAAATTGGGCTAATAAGTGAAAACTAGGGATTTGAAAGCTAGGGAAGTTGCATTTTGCTTCAAAAACTTGGACTTTTCTTTAAGAATCTGTCATTTTTTAAGTTCATTGTCCAAAATTGAATAATTCCACAACACGAAAACAGAAAGATTGTTGAAAAACTCTCTTGTTACGTTACGGTTACGGGCTTGAGCATACCAATAATCTTATCGTAAATACTGTAATAGTACCGCACTCCCATAATGACGGTGCGGAGTGTTGCGTAGTCTAGCTTTGGACGCTCTTTTCTCGACACTGGTTTAGGCTACAATGCGCGCTTGGGTATCAAAAAATAGCCCTGAATTTCAGCTATTTTTTGATACCAAAGACGCATTTTTTAAAAGTACGAGTGCTTTGAAAAAATGAAATACTAAAAAACTTTTGCGACTACGCGACTGTACGAGGGGAGTGGGGTACTATTACAGTATTTGCGGTATTTAGGCAACCTTTTCCACGGCTAACGACAACGAAGACACCATACGCTCACTATTGGGAAATGATCTTGGTTACAATATTTATAATCTTACTGTATCTGGCCATATAACAATTTTCCGTTTCTGGATTCTTTACACGATTGCTGGCACAGCGCTAATGACGCTACTCACTTTTATCATCGCGTTTTGGTGTAGGAAGCGGGTTTTAGCAGCTCTCTCAATTATGGATATGAGTCCAAAAACGAAGAGAATGCACCACGATTTGATGATGGTTTGTATATTTATTGGCTTGAATCATAAAAGTAAAGAGTTCTGAATGAATGAGTCAGATAAATCAATTGCTCATTGCCAATGGTAAGTCAGTGATAATTGCCGTTTGTTTTCGTTGCTGTGGAAAGCTCTAGATGGTCATTAAAGAGTAGATAATTGTTAGTGAAATTGTGGCAAAGTTTTCCCAGACTGACTGTAGATTAATAAGCTCCGTATTTGTTGTGATGCAATCGATAGCTGCAATCGATAGCTGCAATCGGTAGCTGAATCGATAGCTGCAATCGGTAGCTGCAATCGGTAGCTGCAATCGGTAGCTGCAATCGGTAGCTGCAATCGATAGCTGCAATCGGTAGCTGATAGCAATCCGCCGAGAGAAACACAACAAGTTGTCACAAGGATTCTTTCAAAATTTCCCATCATCGATCGTAAATCATCGATCCGGGTGATAAATCCCAAAATCTTGTCAACGAGCGTCTTGGTACTCCGATTAGCCACTTCAGCAAGGAAACATTTGTTTGGGTGACGGGGGTATAACCGAAAAGTACCACCAAGGCTGATACAAACTCGTTCTTTCAACAACGCCGCGACTACAATAACAAGAAAGGGGAAAGGACGATTTCTACGAATGGGTCTTGCAACTGCAGCAAGGAAACATTTGTTTGGATGGCGGGAGTATAACCGAACCAAAGAACCGAAGTACCAAAAGACTTTTTGTAGGCTATTTTTTGTAGGCCAAGCTAAAAAGGCAAATAAAAAGATGCCTTAAACTCTGATTACAAGTTAAATGTTAAGGCTGATATATGAGCTTAAATAGAGAGTGACTCCAAATCCCCCGTCCTAATAGTCCGTTCTAGGCTCATATTTCTGTTATTTTGTAGACCAAAACGATCGGTTTCTTTTTTTAAATGATAATTCACATTGTTTTCTGTATATCTTCAAGACTTCATCGATAGATAATCTACGAGACTAAGACGTCTGTCTCTCTGTTTATGCGCACTACTCCTCCGCGCCTAGTCGGCCGTTTCAAATGACTTATAGTTAGTTTGGCTTAGAATTTCATGTAGTTGTGCAACATGTTTTTAAATTTTTAAAAAACCAAAAGTGTTGGCGCGGGCGGGAGTCGAGCTCGGGAGGTGTGGGCTAGAGATAAGTGCGCTCGCACTGCGCCATCGAGTGGCCGAGTGATTAACGCGCGCGTCTCTCAAACGAACGGAAGAGAGGTCACGGGTTCGACTCCTTTTCTTTTGCTTTTGGCTCTTTAGCCTAAGCCTTTAGCCTAAGCCTTTAGCCTAAGCCTTTAGCCTAAGCCTTTAGCCTAAGCCTTTAGCCTAAGCCTTTAGCCTAAGCCTTTAGCCTAAGCCTTTAGCCTAAGCCTTTAGCCTAAGCCTTTAGCCTAAGCCTTTAGCCTAAGCCTTTAGCCTAAGCCTTTAGCATTAGCATAGCAGATTAGCCACTTCAGCAAGGAAACTTTTGTTTGGATGGCGGGAGTATAACCAAAAAGTACCAAGAAGATTGATTAAAGATACAATTTTGCAAAACTTATTTCCAATCAGGAACTCAAGTTCAACCTTTATTCTCAATTCAAGTTCAATGAAGTCAATAAACCCATAATCTCAATAAAAGGCAATGTTCTTTAAGTGTACCTCCTTTCCTCAATCAAATCAAAACCTTATAATCATATTTAAAAACTGAAAATACCATTTAAAGTTTGAAATTAATAATTAGCTGCAATTTTTGTTTCAAAAGTTCAAAGCAATTTGTGGTTGAGTGTTTTCTTTGAGGGGTAATCTTTGTTGCCAAGCAGTTTTCGTAGCCTCGAAGAAAGGTTCAGGTGATATTTGGAAATCTTTCGCTTTTACGTCGGAGAAACTCAATTTGTTACGTAAACAGCCAAGATTTGATTCCAAGATTGAATACTGTACTCGATATTCAGCATTTCGGTTTGAATCACAAAATTGGTGTCCGTTTCTCAGGCTTTAACATCAATGCCTGTTATTAAAGTTAAAGCAAATCAACCAAAAGAAGACTCGATAGCTGATGAAGGGAAAGTGGGTTTTAAAACTATATCTAAAGATTTTTAAAACTTTAAACAACTATTAAAACTATCCCGTTCAGCTAAAAGGACAGAGATTTAAAAGTTAACAATTTTTCATTGGCATTGATGCATTTGTTGCACTTTGGCTTCAGGAAATCTTAATTTTACGAGCCATTTCACGGATTTTCATTACATATTACCCGTTTGGTTTCAATCAAATTGATTAGATCTTGTTTTGGATTAACTGTGGCCTGGTTAGATAGGTTTTTACTTGTTTTTAATTGTTTTTACTGGTTTTTACTTGTTTTACAAACGTTTCAATGAAGATTCGATGAGGATTTGATAACAGATTTGCAATTAGATTTGAGAATGCAAGTCTTGTCTAAGATATCCCAAGTCTTGCCCCTATTTTGAGGCTTTTTTGTTTTGTTAAAACTATTTTTTAAACTTATTTGGCAGAAAAATAATTGACGTTTCTAATGGAAAAAAGCCTTAGTTCAATTGGTGCATTTGTTTGTTTAAAACGGAAGTACGAAAAGAAGCGAAAAGACTTTCTGAAAAGCCCAATAATTGCATTTTGTAATTGCTACTCTTTGCAGATCTGTAATTGCAGATACTTTTGTAATTCCAGTAGCAGATCTGGAACTAGGTCTGGAAACCAATCTATTACTGGAACTAGGTCTGATACCAGTAATAGATTGGTTTCACAAACTATGTAATGCTAGTTCTACGCCAAAGATTGGTAAATAGACTTATCTGGTACCAGTCGTGTACAGAGTTGTTCCCAAAAGCCAAAAGCCATGGCTAGCCAAGCCAGCCAAAGCCAGAGGCCAGCCAAAGCCAGGTCAGCCAAAGCCAGAGGCCAGCCAGAGACCAGCCAAAGCCAGGTCAGCCAAAGCCAGAGGTCAGCCAAAGCCAGAGGCCAGTCAAAGCCAGAGGCCAGCCAAAGCCAGGTTATATAGTTAGACTCGTGTAGTTAGTTAGTTAGCAACGAATTCTAATAAGATCATTTTATTCAAACGGTTAAAAAGCCTTTCATTTTCAGTCTGTCTCATCTGAAGCCTCGATCATCAAGTCTCCAACTGATGAGAAATCACGAAAGAATGGGGTAAAACTTCTGATCAGTTAGCTTGTTTTGTCATTGGTTTAACGGTTTTCAACCCTATTTGGCTAATGGAGTAAAATACTTGGACAACCAATCGTAATCTTGCAATAGAAGCCCACTAATTGTTAGACTGACAATCTAGAAATACAACAATGTTATTAGCATACTGAAATATAGACATAGACATAGAGATAGACACAGATTTGCTTTTAAAACGTACACTGTAAACGTACACTGTAAACGTACATTGTAAACGTACACTGTAAACGTACATTGTAAACGTACACTGTAAACGTACACTGTAAACGTCCCATTCCAGCACATCATCTTTGCTTGGAGCTGCTTAGTTGAAGTGATCACTTTCGCTCTTTTTGTTGATTTCTCTTGCCGGTTAGACAAATCTAAGTATTGCAAAGTATTGCAAATAAAATTTTAGCTATCCAGCTGAAAACTTTTTCTGTTGGCAATTGTCGCTTCTCTTTCTGGCATGGTCTTTAATTGCTTTCTACACGATGAATTTCTTTGCTTGGAAAAGCTATTTCAAAGTGGGAAATCATTGGTGGATTCGCGCGAAACGATTGTGGCTGGTTGGTGAAATTATTGAGTCGAACCGATTTCAAATATCAAAAATAAACGTCTCGTTATAGAAAGTATTCACAGAGTTTCATTCAGCTTCTTTCTCCTTTCCCAACCACAGCATATGCTATTGCTCTTTTTGCTTGCTATGGATTCGGAGAGTCAGCGTACAAAAGAAGACCGGGGATTTGTTTTGGTAACACTTATCACTTTAACAAATATTGAAGTTTAAGGGAATTAGGTACGAGAATATCCCCACAAATTCCTGGATTTTGTGGGGGCTCATAGGTCTTTTTCGTGGGAGAAGTACTGAAAATTAAGTTTATCGGACATTTGATACGTTTGCCATTGGTAATCTAACTTTGAGCGCAAATATATTGGTGTTGAGCTGTCCAATTTAAATCTTGGTATCACTGGATGCGCCAAGTCTTTCTCTGTCGATTGGTAGAAAAACTATTTGTATTGGACAACCCAACACGAAGATATTTGAACTCAAATTTAGGTCGCCAATGGCAAAAGGGGCGCGGCGACGGACCTTTTATACGCGCCCCGCCCCCTTTGCCATTGGCAATCCAACTTTGAACTCAAATATCTTATCGTTGGACTGTCCAATTTAAATGTCCTTGGTATCATTGGATGCGGCAAGTCTTTCTCTGTCGATTGGTACAAAAACTATTTAAATTGGTCAGCCAAACACCAAGATATTTGAGTTGAAAGCTAGATTGCCAATGGCAAAAGGGGCGGGCGAGTATCGATGGTCGAATTGAAATATTCTTGGTATCATTAGATGCGCTAACTCTTTCTCTGTCGATTGGTACAAAAACTATTGAAATTGGACAGCTAAACACCAAGATATTTGAGCTCAAAGCTTGATTGCCAATGGAAAAGGAGGCGAGGCGCGTATTAAATGTCTCACAATCAAAAATTAACGCTTACTCATGTTTTCTAAAACTTGTCAACTTTCGAAAGCCACCGTAATCGTGCGCCTAGTTTATTTTTATCTATTCACTCTTGAGCTGATTCGATAAAGGCACACACGGGATACAAAAAGTCGATAGATTGGGTACAAACTAATACGGTAGTTCTGGAAAGTTTTGTTTGATAGAATTTTGGTAGAAAAAAAAAGGGCACTTTTTGAAAACCCCACTTTCACAAGAGTTCGGTTTTGACTATATAGTGGAAAATGATCGGAAAATGACCGAAATATCATTCAAAATAATTAAGAGTTGGGATCATTTCAGGGGAAAACTTTGTTTTTGCAATAATTTTTCTATTTTGTGAAAAAGCCGGTTTTTTTGACAATTTTGAGGGTTTTGAACTTACGCTCTATCTAAATTTCTGTAAATGCATTTCCGTTAGACATTTTTAATGAATTGATATATAGTTATCCTTTTTCTTTTTAAATCTTCAATTTTTAGAAGCTAACTCTATTTTGACCACACTAAACTTGTCCCTAAAGTGACTCGGTTCCTTTTTTGGTCACTCGCATTTCGCCCTCAAAATTTCTGCAATGGTTAGATGAATTGAAACACGTTTTAGCCTATTTTGTAGAGGAGATTTACAACTTTCAAACTTTAAACTATAAACTACAACTTTAAAACTTTCAAATAGTTTATAACATTCATCGATATCAGTTTTCTATCGTTGCAAATTTATGTGGAATGGAAAATGTGGAAATCGGCATTTCTCATGCATGTACCTGATATAAAAATAGAAATATAATGCTATCAACTTCTCAATGATCTTTTTAGCCTCGGTTTTGCGTTAACATTTTTAAGCCATTTATTAATAAGCCTTGCTGAATACGGTTGTATAAATTGCTTCAACGATTCTTCAAGAAAACTAAATGAAAATGAAATGAATATAATGAATACTAAATGAAAACGAAATGAATAAATGGTTTTAAGATAATTCTTGTCTCTCCAGTTCATTCACCAATCATAATAAAATCTTCAATAGGTAAAAAACCGGCGTTCCAGAGAATATCCATCAAAAGCTTTTGCCAAAAATATATAAAACTGACTTTCTTGGCGACAACTAATTTGTGCGAAATTTGTGAGAAAACGCAATAGCGCGGAAATTGCTTTTACGTTTTTTTTCGACAATAATTTTCTTTTAATGATTTGAATAGGCCATTTTGCATTGAATGGACTTTTTGCTTTTTTAAATAATTACATATGATACAAATAGAAATATAACATAATAATATAAAGATAGAAATATAATGCCATCAAGTTCTCAATGATCTTTTTAGCCTTTGCGTTAACATTGAGTTTTCCCATGAAATGATCCCAACTCTTAATTATTTTGAATGATATTTCGGTCATTTTCCGATCATTTTTCACTATATAGTCAAAACCGAACTCTTGTGAAAGTGGGGTTTTCAAAAAGTGCCCTTTTTGGTCACTCGCATTTCGCCCTCGAGATTTCTTCAATGGTTCGATCAATTGAAACACGTTTTAGCGTATTTTGTAGAGGAGATTTACAACTTTCAAATAGTTTATAACATTCATCGATAGCAGTGCCATCGTTGGAAATTTATGAAAATGTGGAAATCCGCATTTCTCATGCATGTACCTAATATTTTCTCTAATAGTAGTGCACCCCAACGAGCCGAGTTGATCACTATTTTACAGTTCCCAACCTTTCACAGAAGCTCAACACTCTAATCCCCCACTAGATCTCATCGTCAGCTACATTTTCCGATCCCACATCAATAGGTTCTGATTAGCGGTTCTTGAGATTTCGAGCAATTTAAGCGACGCTCTGGGTGCACTACTATTAGAGAAAATACGGCATGTAATTTTTAGACCCATACATGCTCATGCTCGCAACCACATCGGTGATTTTTCTTGCTCCTTTCCAACTCTACTGTAGCTACATCGTGTGGCTAATCGAGAGAAAGATGAGAAATGGAGAGAATCATCGAGAGATATCTTTCGATGAACTATTCAAAGATTCAGCCTCTGTTCCAGGCACGAATAAAGTCGAAGATACAATAATCTATGTGAAAGTGCGTGATCCAACACAAGAAAGCGGATACACGATGATAGCCATGTCCTCAGTACAGAACTTTTTCCAGTAGATTGTAGATTTTTGATTTGTTTAATGCTTTGAAATGCTGTTTAACGCTTTTAATGTAAGAGTAGACTTGCTTTAGAAACATTTACATTCCTAATGACATTGTTAGAAAGGTTAGAAATAAAAATTTAACATCCATTTGTTAACATTGGATTTCTGTTAGTTTTCTGAAGTAGTTTTCTGATGTTTTTTTTGATTTGATGTGATTTATTTTGTTTTCTTTGTATTCGCTAGCAGAATAGAAACAAATCTTTTCCAGTATACTAATTTTTTTTGCTTTTTCTAATGTAAATAAATGATAAAAGACTTCACAGATCTATTGGGTTGTCCAGTTACGAATGCGCGTTTTTACTATTTTGTAAATTTCTCAAGATATCGAACAGATGTATATGAGTGTTATATATCATTCGAAAGCTGAAGATCTCCTCTACATTTTGATATAAAAAGCTTTGGAATTTGTTCAGCTTTTGGGCAAATTGACTGCACAAAGGGAGAGGTCGTTTTCAAAAAAACCCATTTCAGCTTAGCTGTTCCTCAAGTTTTATGGTGTAAAATAACCGCCCAGAAAAGAAAAGAAAAGTAAAGATTCTCTGAAATTGTGATATTTAAAAAAAAGGTGTATTGATATATCTATTGGCCAAACATCAAACGGTTAACTCAATTTGAGCGGAGCCAAAACTTGATCCAAAGGCATCCTTCCATTTTTTGGCCACCCCTTCTTCTGTGCAGTCAATTTGCCCAAAAACTGAACAAATTCAAAAACTTTTTAGATCAAAATGTAGAGGAGATCTTCAGCTTTCGAATAATACTCATATATATCTTTTTCTTGATTTCGGTATGTTAATCTTGAGAAATTAACAAAATAGTAAAAAACGCGCATTCATAACTGGACAACCCAATAGTTTTCTGATGTTTTCTTGATTTGATGTGATTTATTTTGTTTTCTTTGTATTCGCTAGCAGAATAGAAACAAATCTTTTCCAGTATACTAATTTTTTTTGCTTTTTCTAATGTACATAAATGATAAAAGACTTCACAGATCTATTTTATCTTTTAGAAATCATCAACAGCTTTCTTTCATCAAAGCTTTTTTCATCAACAGCTTTTTTTCATCAAAAGCTTTCGATTTTCAGAAAATCATCAACAGCTTTTTGCACAGTATCAAATAAAATCTCATTTCAAATCTAATCACATAGCGTTTAAGAATAAGAATCAATAAACCAATCGTAGTGTCTTCTAGAGAAAGCTTTTGCCTCTAAAATCGATTAAATAGAATAATTCAAGGAGTTTAAATTAGGTGGATTTCAGAGGTTTTCTGACATTTCTGACATTTGAGCTTGGATCTTGGATCAATGAAACAGCTTGACTATAGCCGACAAAAGTTCTCGAGAAGTTTATCGACTGGACACGACAAGTAAAGAATCGTGTTGACAGCCCGCGAGCTGTCAATATGGCCGCGGCAGGGGTGCCCGTGATGATCGGATCAAACTCAAGCCGAAGTCGAGTGCGTCCCGATCCGTCCCGTCCCGATCCGTCCCGTCCCGATTCGTCCAAGTCCCGATCAGTCCAAGTCCCGATCCGTCCCGTCCCGATTCGTCCAAGTCCCGATCAGTCCAAGTCCCGATCCGTCCCGTCCCGATTCGTCCAAGTCCCGATCAGTCCAAGTCCCGATCCGTCCAAGTCCCGATCCGTCCCGTCCCGATTCGTCCAAGTCCCGATCCGTCCAAGTCCCGATCCGTCCCGTCCCAAGTCCAAGTCCATGCGTCCAAGTTCCACAACAAGCTCGAACTACACTGCGGAGGATCTACTTGAATGAATGACAAATCAATTGGAGTTTATCTTCAATAAATTCTTGGGGCTTCACTTTTTGGAAAACGATTGCTGGTTTGGGATACTTTCTCAACCCACAAAAGCCACCAAGAAGAAACTCAAGGATCTTCAAATCAAGTTTCTTGTCCCTGGAGGCTGCACAAAGTTCATTCAAGCTTCAGATGTTGTGTGAAATGCTCCGTTCAAAGCCAAACTTCGATCACTTTACTTGTGATCGAACTTTACTTTACGATTGGATTGGATTGGATCATTGGATAACCGAAGCCAATGCCACGAAATGGCAATTTAACTTTACTTCCTTGACAATCTAACTTTAAACCCAAATATCTTGGCACAAAGTTGCCCGATTGCAATAGTTTTAATATCATTCGACTTTTCATTTCTTCTTCTATCGATTAATACAAAAATTATTTCAATCAAGGTAATGAGAGAGAAATAGAAAGCAATAATAGATGTTGCAATAATTTTGGGACACCCTATAAACAAAAAACATTATATAATAACAAAGTATGATAAGTTTTGTTAACTTTATGAAAGTGATGCTTTAAAAGTGATGCTTTATTGAAATGCAATGCAATTATTTAGAAATGCAATGCAATTATTTAGCAAAAGCAATTAAGTATCAACATTTCAGTAACCACGTTGCCATCAGCAATTCATTTGATAAGGAAAGATCTGCCGATTCAGTTCCGATATGCTTTAAATCAAGCATAAAGACTATTACTGGCTAAGAATTGTTTTGTTTTTTTGTTCAAATTACTCTCCTCAATTAACTGCAATATTTGTGGCTGGGTCCCGCCGCGATCTCATTCCGTCATCACTCCAAACTACACCTCCCACCAGTCCAATAGCCGGAAAACTCAGCTCTTTCTCTTTCTCTTTCAAGTTTATCCATACTTTTGCATCTAAACAATATTATTTGATAAAGCTTTGATCTGCAAAAGCTTTAAAAGCATTGAAAGCATTGAAAGCTTTAAAAGCATTAAAAGCTTTAAAAGCATTCAAAGCTTTAAAAGCATTCAAAGCATTCAAAGCATTGAAAATTGTTTTGAACCTTTAATCTTGATTGGTTTCTAGTTTGTTTTTCAATGTACATTTTTCTTAGTTCAACTAGAACGAACAAGCTAGAACGATCAGCTATCAGTCTTAGAACGACAAAAACGAGCTAGAAACAACGAGCTAGAATAAGAACGAACAAGCTAGAACGATCAGCTAGAACAAGCTATCAATCTTTTCAAAATTTGATCTAAAACTTGTAAACAATTTACTTTTTTCTCGAGTTTTAATTGAACGATTGCCTTTTTCAAAACTTCATGGAGTTTTTCAAAAAAGCTCATTTTTCTATATAAATAGTATAAAAGTTTTTTGTGGTTTGATGATTTTTATGCTTTCATATCTTTTCAATCTTTTCAATCTTTTCAATCTTTTTCAACCACATTCTAATCACTTTTTTCGGGGTATTGCCACCATTTTATTTGCGCAACTCGGTCGTTTGCGCAACGGGATCCTTTGCGCAACTGGGTCGTTTGCGCAACTTGCCATAACTTTCTTCAAAGTAAGCCAATCTTTATGATTTTGGTGTCATTTTGTTACACTTATTGAGATCTACAAAATGAAATCAAAATCATAAAGATTGACTGACTTAGAGGAAAATTATGGCGAGTTAGACCTAGTTGACCTAGTTGCAAAAGACCTAGTTGCGCAAATGACCCAGTTGCGCAAAAAATTTAGCGCAAAGTAGCCTATCCCCTTTTTTCACATTCTACAATCTGATAAAATGATAAAATCTGATAAAATCCTTTAAAATAAATCCTTCCAGAATGCCGGCCGTGAAAGGCGATGGAATGCGCGGCTTGGCCGTCTTCATTTCGGACATCCGCAATTGCAAGAGCAAAGAGGCCGAATTGAAGCGCATCAACAAAGAATTAGCGAATATTAGGAGCAAATTTAAAGGTTTGAAACAAAAAAGAACTTAGATATTGATGAAAAATTCAGGCGACAAAACACTGGATGGGTATCAGAAGAAGAAATATGTGTGCAAGTTGTTGTTCATCTTTTTACTCGGCAATGATATCGACTTTGGGCATATGGAGGCTGTGAACTTGTTGTCGTCGAACAAATACACGGAGAAGCAGATTGTGAGTCGAGCTAGAAAGTCGATTAAAGAGTTTAACGTGTTGAAATTGAATAGATTGATAAAATCTGGAATCTAACAGTTTCTTTATGGTTTCTTTATGGTAAAAGGTTTGGAAAAAGTTCATTGACTGATACTGAATCGTTAAATTCCTGAAGCCGGTAACAAAGTTGAATATTTCACAGCTTTTTATACCTACTTTGTTATTGCTTTGTTATTCCTTTGTCACAGCTTTGTTATTGATACCTACTTGATACCAAAATTGAGAACTAAAGCAGTTTTTCTGTCTTCATTACAATTCTAATTAGGAAACTGTTTCAACTTACCACCGAAATCGGACCTAGTTACAAAACGCCCCTTTATTAGGTACATGCAGAAGAAACCCCATCCCCATAATGACGGTGCGGAGTGTTGCGTAGTCTAGCTTTGAACGAGTTTTTCTCGACACTGGTTTATGCTACAATGCGCGCTTAGGTATCAAAAAATAGCCCTGAATTTCAGCTATTTTTTGATACCAAAACGCATTTTTTGAAAAACCAGGGCCCTTTGAAAAAAAATGAAATACTAAAAAACGTTTTCTACTAGACACTGTACTGGGGCGGTGGGGTACTATTACAGTATTTATGGTAGGTTCGCTTTCGAATAATCTTTGCTAAGTTGAAACCGTTCCCTATTAAGATAAAAAGAGCAGTAATCTAAACGCTGAATCAAGAAAAAACAAGAGTTACAGAATGAAATTAGTTGTCCTCTCAGGATTCTGGATATAACCTACCCTAAATACTGTAATAGTACCCCACCCCCACCATGACGGTGGGGAGTGTTGCGTAGTCTAGCTTTGAACGCGTTTTTCTCGACACTGGTTTATGCTACAATGCGCGCTTAGGTATCAAAAAATAGCTGAAATTCAGGGCTATTTTTTGATACCAAAGACGCATTTTTTGAAAGTACGGGCGCTTTGAAAAAAATGAAATACTAAAAAACCTTTGGCGACTACGCGACTGTACGAGGGCGGTGGGGTACTATTACAGTATTTACGGTAGAAGTACCCAAAGGGTGATTGTAAAAATGAATCAAAAGTGTTACTTTTTGCAATAAACCTAATAGTTTTTCTTTTGCAATGATAGTTTCAAAGCTTTTTATTAAAACTTAACATTTCCAGGGTTACCTCTTCATCTCCGTGCTCATCGAGGCCAACTCCGACCTGATGAAGCTCATCGTTCAAGCCATCAGAAATGACTTGGTGAGTGAACTCAATTGAAAATAGAGTTCAGTTTAGATGAATCGATATAACAAAATCTATTATACTATTCCTAGATGAAATCCAGTTCTTTTAGATGTCCCGAAATCCAGTTCATGTCAATTTGGCTCTCCAATGCATCTCCAACATTGGATCTCGTGACATGGCTGAGGCTTTTGCCAATGTGAGTAAAGTGGCCTTAATAGGCAAGAAGTTGGAAACAGAATTGAAAAATTCTTGAACAATGACAGATTGCTTTACCCTTTACATTAGCAGGATCTTCCGAAGCTGCTCGTCTCCGGGGACACAATCGATTTCGTGAAACAGTCGGCTGCTTTATGTCTTTTGAAACTCTTCAGAAATTCGCCTGATGTAATGCCTTCACCAGATCATGCTTCGAGAATTGTTCATCTACTGAATGATTCACATATGGTTGGTCATATAAAAGCATCTAAACTTGAGCTTAAAGTACTTTTAAAATGTCTTAACTATCCAAAAAACTAGCTAGTCAACTAGCTAGTCAACTAGCTAGTCAACTAGCTTTACTTGCAAAATCATTTGATTAGATTATTTTGCCTCTTCTCGATTAAAGTATGGATCTGATCACAGAAATAAACTGACAAATTTAGGGCGTTGTTACATCAGCCGCTTCTTTGATTGAAGCTTTGTCAAAGCGATGGCCGGATGACTACAAGGGATGCGTCTCTCTAGCGATCTCTCGATTGAGCAGAATTGTCACAGCTACTTACACGGATCTACAAGTAAGCTAATAAGTTTGTAGCTAGTTTACTAATGAATTATTATTTTTATGCTTATAAACCAATGAATTTCCAGGATTACACCTACTACTTCGTGCCAGCTCCATGGCTTTGCGTGAAGTTGCTTCGACTGCTGCAGAATTATCCACCACCAGGTAAAAGCTAAAACTTTGACTCATCTAGTTTAAAGCTACCTGTTAGCTACTTGTTAGCTACTTGTCAGCTACTTGTCAGCTACTTGTTAGCTACTTATCAGCTACTTGTTAGCTACTTATCAGCTACTTGTGAGCCACAAACTCTTAAGCTTTTAAGCTAGTAATGTAGATTATTTACACATTGATATCATTGCAGAAGATCCATCCAACAAAGCTCGGCTTCTCGAGTGTCTCGAGGGAATCCTGAACAAGGCACAAGATGCACCAAAATCAAAGAAAGTTCAGCACTCAAATGCCAAGAATGCTGTGCTATTTGAGGTAAAATAGTTGAAAATCATTTGAAAACGAGATTTTACTCAAATTTAGGCAATCGCTTTGATCATTCACATGGACAGCGAGCCAAATCTCTTGGTGAGAGCCTGCAATCAGTTGGGTGCTTTCCTCAGCCATCGGGAAACAAATTTGCGGTAATTCTAAGTAAGTATCTAGTTTTTTAAACAATAATTACAGCTATCTGGCTCTTGAATCGATGTGTCTCTTGGCTACCTCGGAATTCTCTCATGAAGCTGTGAAAAAGCATCAAGAGACGATCATCAACTCGTTGAAAACGGAACGGTGAGAAATTTATGGGAAATAAAAAGGTTACTGTCTTGGCTGTGGTTAAATTTTATCGTTACTAAATGTTTTAGTGATGTGTCTGTCCGCCAACGAGCTGTCGATCTTCTTTATGCAATGTGCGATCGAACAAATGCCAGCGAGATTGTAGCCGAGATGTTGACCTATTTGGAGACCGCTGACTATTCGATTCGAGAAGAAATGGTAAGGAAATAAGACAAGAAGATCAAAATAAACAAGGTTGATCAAAAAAAAGACTGAATGCTAAGACTAGAGCTAAAGCTGAAACATGCGACCTCTTTTCCAAGAAAATCCTGAGTTGGCGCTTTAAAGCGTGGTAAAACTACCGTACCCCTTCTAATTTGTAAAAAAAAGAGAGAAATTTCGGGGATGGGACAAATGTGACCTTTTTTTGCGCACCCGGCCAAGAGCGCACCTTTCTTTTCGCTGGAAAAGCCGTAGAGCTTCAAAAATGGTTCCAGATAGGGAATCGTATGCGTAGATTCCGAATTTCGACAAATCAGATCTCGCTGACATGTCAAATTTGGGCTAAAAGGCAAAAACTACGCGACTTAACGCTTTCCGCAGTTTTGCCTTTTAGCCCAAATTTGACGTGTCAGCGAGGTCTGATTTGTCGAAATTCGGAATCTACGCATACGATTCCCCTATCTGGAACCATTTTTGCAGCTCTACGACCTTTTCCAGCAAAAAAAGGTGCGCTTTTGGCCGGGTGCGCAAAAAAAAGGTCGCATTTGTCCCACCCCCGAAATTTCATTCTTTCATTCTTGTTCTCCAATTTCATTTAATTCTTTTATTTTGTTTTTCATTTCATTTCATTCTTTTTACGTATTTCTGATGTGCTTTTCTTTGTATTTTTTTTATTAGTGATTCTTGGAAAAAGGTTGCAAGTAAGCTGAAAGCCAAAGCTAACGAATAAAATAAACTTTCGTGCCTAGTTTCTATGCTGACCATTTTACCCCAAAAACTCAATATCTATTAGGTTGAGTACTAAGTCTTGCACTGTTCATTTCATTATCTAAATGAATGAGTCTCAAACTACCAAATACCAGTTTCATTTCAAATGTTTATCGTTTACTTTTTGTCATTTTAAAACAATTTTTAGTGTTTTAGTATAATTTGCAAGAACGAAAACTGGTATTTTTAAAAATATTGAAAAATGAGCACATAAAGAAAACCGCTAAACGGATTATCCTGAAATTTTTGCTGTAGGCCCAAATTTTTGTGCGCTATCTTTTTTATTTTGTCATCAAAATAGGTTTCATTGGAAGAAATTTTAAGATCCGGTGGGGTAAACTTTCAAAAACCAACCAAATGCCCAAAAATGTTTTTCTTGTTAAGAGAACTTTGCCAGGCTTCGATCTTCTTGGCTTTGCCGCTGTTTGCGTGTGGTAACTAAATTTTATAACTATACCAGCAACGAATAAACAAGATGCACGAGTAATGCAAGAATTCGCAGAATATCGCATTCTGAAAAAAAAACTTTTGATAGTATCCTAGTTGGGGGACCACTTTTTTCTTCAAAACCACATGTGGGTTGGGCATCTGCCGGACCCACATCAACACATAAAACTACCTCAAAAAATGGTTTTGAAGAAAAAAAATGACCCGCCAACTAGGATATTATCAACATTTCTAATAATGACATAAAAAATTTTTGTAGAAGTTACGTTTTTGATCGAGTATCACCTCGAAACACGTAATCAAGTAATCACCTCAATAAATTGAATATCTTTACATTTGAAGGGAATTTGCCACCAAATCACTTAAGCGGCTGAATATCTTTAAAAGGGGTCGTGTATAACGTATATAAAATTTTACCCCACCGGATCTTAAAATTTTACCCCCCCCCCGGATACTCCACAAGTACCCAAAAACCGTTCATTTGGTTCATTTGGTAGCTTGAGACTTATTTAATTAGAAAATGAATTTTGGTGAAAGACTTAGTACTCAATCTAATATGTGTTTTCAACTCTCTTTCAACTAATATGTGTTTTCAACTGTCTTCAACTTTCAATTTTCAGGTGCTAAAAGTAGCAATCTTGGCTGAGAAATATGCAAATGACTACACGTGGTATGTTGATGTGATACTGAAGTTGATTCGAATCGCCGGAGACTACGTAAGCGAAGAAGTGTGGTATCGAGTGATTCAGGTGGGACAGGCTTTTCCGAATTCATGGGAAAAGCTCTTCTAGATTGTCGTGAATCGCGAAGATGTGCAAGGATATGCGGCAAAGACTGTTTTTGAAGCTCTACAAAGACCGGCTTGCCACGAGAACATGGTGAAAGTTGGTGGCTACATTCTGGGAGAGTTCGGCAATCTCATTGCTGGAGATCAACGATCAGCGTATGTTTTTTGATGTTGATATTGAGTCCAATATTTTTGGTTTTAAAAAAGCTAAACTCCAAACTTAGTTAAACAATCAAATTTAGGCCTCAAGTCCAGTTCGAGCTTCTCCACTCGAAATACCACCTCTGCAGCATTGGAACCCGTTGCCTTCTTCTCACCACCTATGTGAAGTTCTGCAATCTGTTCCCAGAGATCAAGCACATTATTCAAGAAGTAAAAATCATTAATGATAAAATAAAATTCAGCTTCCAGGTCTTCCGAACTGATCACAACTTGAAAAACCCGGACGCTGAGCTGCAACAGAGAGCCGTTGAGTATCTTTCAATGAGCAAAGTAGCAACGCCTGATGTTTTGGCAACGGTTTGTTAAGCGTTTGAAGTTAATGGAATAATAGCTGCTAACCTGAAGGTGCCAACCTAATCAAATCCTTGAACTGTTCTTTGTGCGCTTCTCCTTGTAAGTGCTCCTTGTACAGATCTGTTAAAAAAAATACAATAGCGTTCAAAATGATTTAGACGGTGGTATTTTTTCTCTTTGTGAGACTTACACTCAAAAACAAAGTTGTACCTTGACTAGTTTCTAATATTATCGGCCTAAAAGCTCTTATCTAGCTCAAGTTCTTTTCACAAAATTTTTTGATTCTCCTGAGTTCGGCGCAAGGCCAAATTTTTCAACTTTTTAAACTAGAAATTTTTAAGCAAATCTGACTGCAAATTTGGATTCTTTATGTATTTTTTAGTCTAAAAAAGTCTTTTTCGAAAAGATTTTGGCTTGGCGCGCGCACAGTTCCTCAAAAAAAATTTGAAAAGCTATTTTTGATCTTTTTTGGCCCTTTTTGAGGAGCTGTGTGCGCGCCGAGCCAAAATCTTTTCGAAAAACACTTTCAGAATAAAAAATACATGGAAAATCCGACTGTACTTGATACAGTAAACAAACTTTGAGATGCAATTTTTTTCCGTTATTGATTTATATCTTTTTTCAGATTCTCGAGGAGATGCCCCCATTTGCGGAAAAGGAGAGTTCCTTGCTGGCCAAGTTGAAGAAGCACAAGCCACAGGTTTAATTTTGTTAACAAAATGAGCAACTTATTTAATTTTAAAAGAGAAGAAGCTTCAAATACAAGTTTTAATTTTGAAAATTCAGGTGGAAGAGCTCGAGTCGGTGGCTCAAGAGAAGAAGAGTCGACCACAAGCAGTTATGGCTCAGGTAAGGGATGGAGAAATTGTTTTTAGAATGTTTATCAGTGAAATAAAAGAATGTGTGATTCTAAGAGTATTTCAAGTTCCAGGATGGAGGAGCTGTTGGATCCTTGGTGGATCTTGATCACTCAGCTCACTCCGAAGCTGCTGCCTTGGTTGACATCTTTGGCTCTCCATCGACTACCACAACATCCACAAATAACACCGCCACTCAGCCAACTGGAGAACCTGTTGTTGCAAATAAAGATGACTATTCGAAGTTTGTCTTGTTTCAGAAAAAATATTTATTCTTTTTCAGGTTTGTTTCGAAACTTAATGGAGTCCTTTACGAGGATGAGACGGTTCAAGTTGGCTGCAAACTGGAGACAAGGAACAATTTGGCTAGACTGGGTACTGAAGTTATCAAAATGTACCTGAATACTTCTAACGTCAAAATACTTAGTTAATAATCTTGTTTAGGGATGTTTTACGGAAACAAGACCCAAACTCCATTCACCGACTTTAAACCGGTGGTGGTTTGCCCAGGAGCATTGTCTGTTCAGCTACAAGCACAGGTATGTAAAAGTTAATAATTTAAATCAGGCTGATAATTGCTTCATAAAAATATCAATTTCTAGAAAGTCTTTTTGTTCCTCTTGGTACTTTCGTTGAAAAATAACAAATTTATCAATTAATCTATGGTTTGTTCTAAATAAAAAGTGTTTATTGTTCAATTTTCATCTTTTTAAGTTAATTTGGGTTGACTTTCAAGCAAATTAGAGGGTGAACAAGATGGGTTTTTCCTAAAAATCTGTAAAAGCCTCTATGAAAAAGTTTTTCTGAGCCAATTTCTCTGAAAATTTTGCTATATACCAAACTTTTTATGCTCTATCTTTTATCTATAGACACCAAGATAGGCTTTCTTAGCTAAAGTGGGTCGAAACCGCTACACCAAGCCGCCTTTTGACTACCCGGCTTCGCACTCCCAAAAAAATTCAGACATAAGACATTTTAAAGCCGTTCTAATGCTATTTTACAGAAAAATAATTGGCCTTTTTAATGAAATGAACTGTAGTTCAATTAGTACATTTGTTGGCTTTAAACAGAAGTACAAAAAGGAACGAAAAGACTTTCAGGACAGTTATCGGAGAATCTAACTTTGAGCTCAAACAGCTTGGTCTTGGGCTGTCCAATTTAAATATTCTTCGTATCATTGGATGCCCCAAGTCTTTCTCTGTCGAATGGTACAAAAACTATTTATATTGAACAGCTAAACACCAAGATATTTGAGCTCAAAGTTTGATTGCCAATGGCAAAGGTGGCGGGGCGCGTATCAAATGTGGCACAGTCTTTCTGGACAGCCTAATACACTGTTCTTAACATATGAAATATGCATGATCAAAGAAGTTTAGCGAAGTTATGGTTCGAGATGTAAACTAGACTCAAAAAAGGCCTACCTGAACAACTTTGGCAGTTATTACACTTGAAAATGGTATAACAATCTAGATCCAAATTTCTGCCGCTAAAAGAGAAACACTGAAGCTCTTTGCTAAACTCTTGCCTCTTGACAGGAATCTGAGCATTTGAACGATTTCGTTTTAAATTGAAGAATTTTGAATGGGTAGTAACGCTTCAAAGACCGAAAAGTAACGAAAAGACTTTCTGAATAGCCTAATATTCAGGCAAAACCAATGGATGCAGTGGTTGCAGCCGGCACTCAAGTTCAGCAACTCATCAATTTTGTTTGTGTGCAAGAGTTCAACCGAACGCCCATCATTCAAGTGTCTTTCAATTACACGTACGTTTTGAAAATAGTTTGGTCACCTTTAGATACCTATTCTGCTCAATAATAAACTTATCATGATCGGATAATTTAGGCCAACTTCCGGTCAATCGACCCATTTCGACAAATTCTTGTACCTCCCCATTTTCATCAACAAATTCTTTGAGCCGACCGAGATGACCAGTGAGACGTTCTTCGCCAGGTAAAGCTTTTAAACCTTGTATGAAATTTCGTGTACTTTGTGAGAAAATTGCAAAAACACCTTTTCTAATGCACCCAATCTGTTCGATTGCCTTAAGCAAAGCGCAATGGAGTGCATCAAAATGTGTTTGTTACTATTTTCTAGTACGAAATTGATTTGATGAACCAAATTTGTGATGTTTTTGGAACTTGTATGAATTTTGCATAATCTCTACTTTTATAGATGGAAAGCTCTTGGCATCCCGTCACAGGAAAGTCAAAGAATCTTCATTGCCAAGCATCCGATCGATTCCACTCAAGTCAATGCCAAGGTAAAGCCAAAGAGATAGAGAGTGAACTAGCTTTCAACATACATAAGCTTTTTATAATCAAATAAACTTTAGTTAACTGGAATCGGGGCTAAATTGCTGAGCGATGTTGACCCGAATCCGGAGAATTTTGTTTGTGCGGGCATCATTCACACACAGACACAACAAATCGGAACGCTCATTCGTTTGGAGCCAAATAAACAAGCCAAAGTGAGTGAAAAAAAGTTGTTTTAAACTTTTGTAATTGATTGGTTAAACTTTCTCTCTTTTTCTGCTTTCTTTCGGGCCATTGCAAAAAACACCTGTGAATCAGTTGGTAAAGCGTCTGTCTGAAAGCAGCAGATTCTATTCCGCTCGGGTCCTTCTTTGCCAAATTTCTTTTAAAAATGAAAAAGGTGAGGAGGAAAAAAGATGAAGAGGGGAATGAAACAAGAGAAAGGGGGAGAAAGCGGGGTGAAAAGGGAACGATGAAGAAAAGGGATCTCTTTCATGTTTAAGGCTTTTATTCACAGTTGAGTCATTTATGGTTTTGTTTTTGTTATCAAATTGTTATTATATCAAATTCAACTTTTCAGAAGTACCGCCTGACCGTTCGGAGTAGCAAAGACGCCGTCTCGAAGTACCTCTGCGATTTGCTGGCCGACTTGTTCTAGAAATGACTTTCTAGAAGAAATTTCACTCAAATTTTCCAATCCCATGCTCAGACTATATGTAAAAGTAAATCTTTTCTCACTTCTTATAAATGTTTTCGATATTTCTCCGTTTTTCTTCCCAGAATCTTCACTATTTTCCCACCAAATGCCCTTCTTTTGCCCTTTTCAGTCCAGCGGTTGTTTACCCGTATTTTCAATCTCGAAAAAGCGTTCATTTACATTTTTTTTTCAGATATTTCAAAGTCATAATGTAATAATTTTTTATTAATCTAGTAATTAGTATTTTTCTCGTAATTTTTCTTTCTCTATTCAAAAATCTCTTGAAAAATTCAGTGCTTTTCTTTAGAGATACTTCTTTTTTTCAACAAAAATGAGCATTTGATCAAGAAAATTTCTTCTATTTTACATAAATAGCATAATCTTTTGAAACCATGGATACAAATTTAAGCTTTTTTTTCAATTTTCAAATCTTATCATAAATCCTCATGTTATTGTCAAAGTTATGTTTTCTCGTAAACAAACTCCTTCTGGTGCACGGGATTTTACTCTTTACAGATTTTAAGAGGAAAATTTATGAAATTCACCGTCTTCTTACGGAAATTTCAACAGTTTTCACCAAAAATAGTGAAATTTTCGGTGCACCAGATCCCTAGCGTTTCCGTTTTTCCCATTTACCTAAATTTTTCTAATTCTGGTCGTTCACTTGTGTTGTGCTGAAAGAAATGAGAAAAATATTGTGACAAGTTTGAGCTGAATTTTGTTTTTTTTCTGCCAGATTTGTATAGATAACTTATTGATTGCTTACTGTAGCCTTGTTCTTCTCTAGAGTGCACTTTTGCCTCAGAAACGCACCCTCTCTAGTGCACTGAATGCACAGATTCTTTATTTTCTCTGCTATTGAAGATACGAGAAAATCAGGAATCCAGTGCGCCAGAAGGTTGCGTTTCTAAGCCAAGCACAAGTACACTTTAATAAACAAGTCTAGCTGACTGTAGTTACCCCATAATTTATTCTTTTCTAATTTATTTTCGCATTCTATAGAGTGGTCTCTTTTGAGAAATTGCCAGTTTATTTTATGAGTAGCAATAAATGATTTTAAAGACTTTCATTTTAAAAGCTGTTTTCCAGTTAAACTATTTGCCTGAATTGTTTCGAAAATGGTTTTGAAGACGAAAAAAATCTATCCAGAATTGAGGCGGACGACCGGCTGGGGAATGGAAAATGAGCACGAATTTATATGCGGAGTAATTGAAGGTAGATTTAGGACAAAGAGTTTACTGTACATAGAGCACATAGAGTACATAGACCACAGACCACATAGAGTACATAGACCGCATAGAGTACATAGACAACATGGAGTACATAGAGTACACCGCATAGACCACATAGAGTACATAGAGCACATAGAGCACATAGAGCACATAGACCACATAGACCACATAGAGTTCAAAGTTTCTAGCTATATTTAAACCAATAAAACTTCAGGATTTTACGGCCGTCCATGGACCCTCGACCAGAGGACGGATCTCTTCAAGAAATTAGAGGCTTTCCGTTTAAACTACTATGTTTACGCACCGAAAGATGACCTGAAACATCGGCTGTCGTGGAGGGAGCTGTACACAAGCGAAGAAGCTGGTTAGTAAGCTGAATTCTTTGAGCTAAATATTTATGGAGGAGCCACCTTAAACTTACCGAGATCTGTAAAACCCATAGAAGTGAGGAATTGAGTATGCCCGAATAGTGTACTCGATAAAGAAATGAGTCAATTGTAATAAAAGATACTTGTGACTCTTGCGCCGCCCTTTACATTTGAAATGAACAATAAAAATCTCAGAAAAGTCAGAAGTATGGGGAACTTCTGACTCTTGCGCCGCTTATTTTGCATCTGTTAACTCATTTTGCATATCACTATTATCATATTACTACATCCTTACGAGTCAGACTCATTTTCCTTGCGATGCTGCTAGCAAAAACTGAAACCATATTCAGAATCAGCGTGAAATTCTGCGTGGAATAGCACATGTCATTTAGCCGCCTTGCCCACTTGACCTTCCAATTCATAAAATACAATTGTTTCTTTAGAAAGTCTTCGGCACATGATCACAGAGGCTCGGCTGCACAACCAGAACTTTGTCTATGCTCTTTCACCAGGGAACGATATCCGGTATTCAGATGAGGCTGATATTTATGCTGTGAGGAAAAAGCTGGAACAGGTAAAAAAAGCAAGTTGCCTACCATCAATCTAACATCTAACAGCTGAACTTTTTAATTAAGCAATTAAGTAAGAAATTCAGCAAGCTATTTTTCAGGTGCATTCACTTGGTTGTGCCAGTTTCGCTCTGCTCTTCGATGATATTCCCAAAGAAATGCATCCACTTGATCAACAGCGATATGAATCATTTGCAAGTGCACAGGTGAGATTTTGAGTCATTTCAAAAAACAAGCGTCTACCTTCGTTTTCAGGATTGATTTTGTTGTTTTAGGTTCAAATCACGAATCGAACCTTCGAAGCACTGCAGCAACCGACATTCATGTTCTGCCCAACAGGTTTTCGTTTTTCAAATGTTTTTTTTTAGATTAGCTTTTAGATTTACTGAAAAGCTTTAAAGATTTAATATATTTAAAAGATCAAAAGATTTAATAGTAAACTTTTAGAATACTGCGAAACCCGGGCAATCCCTAGTATTGACGACTCCGAATACCTGGACACATTAGGCCGCTTCTTACATCCAGCGATTCACATCATGTGGACAGGTACATATTGAGCAATCACGTATAAAATATCTTATTATTCAACAGTTAAACTCCTATTGACGTGCGGTTTTAAGGAACTGGCGCGAAAGCCGCGCGGCGCACTTTCTAAAGCATGGGAGCGCTACCGTACCCCGCACAAAAATTTCCTTTTGCCATTCTTTACATTTTCCTTCATTCCATGATGGAATCTGAAATTTTGTTCGGCTTTTCCCGCTAAGTTTCCTTCCCGCTTTGTAAAATCTATGATGTTTTTGTAGTGCCTATGACGTTTGTAGAGTTAAAAGTACTCTCTTTCCTCTCGTTCGTTCCCTCCTTTTTATATTGTTTGCCCATAGTTTGTTGTTTAAAATTCGAATACTCTTTTATTTCGTTTTCTTTTCGGCTCCTTTCACTCCATTGTTTTGAATCCGTTCCCACATCCCATAGACTCAACTTAACTTTCCAATTTTTTAAAACTAAAACGCGAATCTAAATAATCTTTCACGACACGATCTTCTTGTTACTTTGTCTTGGGTGTTGTGTTAAATCACTTTAAGAAAAGGGTCGATAGGTAAAAGAATTAGTTACTAACTCAACTCCAATTTGACTTTTGCATTTATAAACGACCTTTAGTTTACTTAATTACTTAATTTTAGGTCCTAAAGTCGTCTCTAGATGGCTAACACCGGCTCACTGTGAGCGAGTTGAGAAAGTCCTGCGAAGAAAGCCGCTAATTTGGGACAACTACTTCGCCAATGATTACGATATTCGGAGGCTATTCTTGGGACCATTGCAAGGTTAGTTGCTTTAGTTCTATCATTAAATTTGTTTCTTAAATAGATTTGAAAGGTTGTTGAGTAATAAATGACTTGAAAGGTTTTAAATAAACGAGTTTTAGGCAGACCATTGGCTGTGAGGAACTCAATCTCTGGTATTTTATTGAATCCGAACAACAAACACGAGGCCAATCACATCGCCATCGCCTCCACCTCACAATGGAGATATGCAGAGGGTTGGTTGGACTTGGTTCTGTAAATACAGGGTGACAAGAAATAACCTGTCCTTACATTTTAACCTCAAACGCTCTAGATAATGCGCCTAGACAAAAATGACCTATAAACATAATAAATAGACACCCTTAGGAACTTGATCGTGGAAATTTGTTTCTCTAGGTTGATTCGGCTTTTTACAGGACATTAGGCGCGTAGGTACTACCTTCTCAGACCCCTTCTTTTTTAAAGAAAAGTGTTTCGTTCTTTACACCCAAAATATTGATATGAGTTCAAGTATTTTGAACTAAAATACCTAAATTTGTGTTTATCTATAACAAAAACCTTTTTAGTACACAAAAATAGACTAGACTAAAATAGACAACTATTTTTTGACTTAAAAAGATGACTTTTTGGTTTGAAAAAATTCCTTATGTTCTGAGATGGAAAATTCGAACTTATTTCTCTAACGCTCACTTAGTCGGATACATTTTTAAAATTTGCTAGATTAAAGATTCTAACAGTGAAAGCTTGAACTTAATCCATATTTTCGCGTAAAGTACGAAACACTTTTCTTGAAAAAAGGAGCGGCCCGAGAAGGTATTACCTACGCGCCTATTTTCATGTCCTGTAAAAAGCAGGATCGACCTAGTGAAACAAATTTTCATGATTAAGTTCCTAAGGATGTCTACTTATTATGATCATAGGCCATTTTTGTCAAGGCGCATTATCTAGAGAGTTTGAGGTTAAAATGTAAGGACGGGTTATTTCTTGTCACCCTGTATAATGCAAAACTCAACTTTAACGGCCTAAGCCAACCAGGTCAAAGCTCAATCAGGTCCCGCCAAGTCAGGTAAGTAGCTCTAAGCTAAGTTGGACCAAGAACTAGTTTTTGGCTAAGTCTGAAAAATAGCTCCTGTAACAGCAGTAATTGTAAGTTTAACTTTCCAATTGAAAACATTTTAGAGCCAAACGATGATGATGAATCAAAATCCCAATCGGTTGAAGCCATTTTGGACAAAGCTCTGGCCAGCTGGGAGGCGCTTTTCAACACTGAAACCCCGTTGGTTTTCTTAAGCAGCTACTAGGTTTTAAAAATTTATTGATTTAGCAAATAACTTTTGATCAAAGTTTACCGAAAAGTTCAGAGAAGTGCCGACGGTAAAACCACAAACGATTCAAGATCTGCAAGAGATCGTGATCGAAGGGGAGACGAAAATTGGATGCATTGATACGCCGTCAACGTCTGGTAAGCTTTTAAGCTAATTCTAAGATATGACTTTAAGCTTTAAGAGTGAATAGTTTGTGTAAACCTTCGACTAAAGCCTTTAGTCAACATCTTCAACGAAAAGTAAGGGTTGCTGTTTGAATACCAGAAAACTTACCAACCATCTTGCTCATTAATTACTTGGATAATAAATTTAGAAACTGTTTTAGACCTTGGCTCCGGTCGTTCCGAGCCCTTGGAGATGGAGGCAGACTCTTTTGTCCCTCCGGATATCTCAGCCGAAGTTCCTCTACCGGTTATGGCCATTGATGAGATGGTGCACGCTGTTTTGGCCACCCCAAATGCGGTAAGTGCAGTTGTTAAATGTTTGCTGATATTAAGATAAATAAGCTTAAACTTTAAACCATTCCGATAACAATGACTAAAACTTTTGACGAATTGACTTGCTGAAGAACCAATCAATCAAGCAAAAATTACCTATTTGCTATGGAGCGAAGATCTTGCGCTGTATATATGATTAAATTTTAATCTTATTGGCACACAGCTTTGTTGGATAATTAAAAAAGTATTTATTATGTATCATATTAAAATTCTAACAATTTCAGCAAGAAAATGAGCCGGACCCTAGCGTCGTGGTGAACTCACTGGTGCCCGAGTATAATACTTGCACAGTAATGGGGACGCCGATCTTGCCTTGTTCTCATAAAAACAGGTAAATCTGAAAACTTATTATTAGTTATGCCTACGGTGATCCTTTAATGAGTTGGGATTGGAATACAAAGCATGGTCGGCGCCGGGGTTCGAACCCGTAACCTCTCGCTTACCGGTCGAAGGCTCCACCAATAAGCTACACCGATCGCATGGCCGCCAGGGCCTTATGCCTTACTTATAAATTGTTTTGATTATTTAGTTCGGAAGAAGCTGCACAAATGGACGGGCATGTTGAAGAGAAATCACAAGAGGAGTCACCAAGATCACCTGTTGCCGCTGTAACCAAGTGGGTTCTAAGAGCTAAAATCAATAAAAATTGCGAACTAGACTTATACAGTAAGGTTTTAAAATTATTATATTTAGTTCCCAAACACAAATTACCAAGGGTGAGCTGCGGAGACTCGTTGATCTCTTCTATCTACCCTTTCAGTATGGGAAACAAGGCGAAGAGGTGAGTGCTGAAGTGGAGAATCACCGCTAAGACGTGGATAAATATTAAAAACTTTAGGCTACTACTATATTTTAATATTACAATATATAGTTACTGGAAAGCCTGCACTTCTTGATGACAAACGCACACCGAGAGGATGATCGATACTCGCCAACAGATAGGTACTGCCAAACATTCAAAACGTAGACACTTCTAGGCTTCTGAAATCTTTCAAAATAAGAAAATCTTTAAATAGAAAATATTTATTGGTCATTTTTCTATCTTTTTAAAAAAATTTAAGTCTGTCTAAGCAAATTCGAGCGCAAAAACTCGTACACAAAAGTTTTTTGTAAAACTCGATACAAGAGCTCTACAAAGAAATCGGCTGAACAGATGATCCTGAAAATTCGGCTATATACCTAACTTTTTACATTCTATCTTTTATCTATTGAGACCAGGATAGGTTTCTGTGGACCAAAGCGCCTAAATTACGTCTTCGCGTCGTCGCCTTTTTGACTACTCGACTTTACGCACCCATAAAAACCATAGACAAAACATCTTCATAAGATTCGAGCGTTATTTTGTAGTAAAATAGTCGGCCTTTCTAATGGAACCAATTGTAGGTCAATTGGTGAATTTGTCATTTATAAACGCTAGTAGAAAAAAGTGTCTAAAGACTCTAAAGTATAATAATTAACTTTTAGTGGCTTCCACGAAGCGATCCAGTACATCTACCAGTTCGTCAATGAGTTCAACAGCCTCTATTGGAAAATCATAAACTGCTCGAATAAAGTAAGCTTCAGCAACAAGTGATTTCAAATTTTTAAACCTTTCAGCCATTGCTATCGGAACTGTTACCTTATATCTGGGAAACGCATGGAACCTTATCCGTTGTTGAAGGAGTCACTCATTGGCTTGCATCGGGGAATCTTCAGAAGGAGTTAAGAGGTGGGTAAATCGAAATTCTAGCTATATAGAACGATATAACATTTTAGAATCAAATTTCGAGTAATACAAGTACAAGTAATACAGGGTGACCAGAAATAACGAAGTAGTTAAAAATGGGGGCTTTTTGTTGAATCCTCCTTTTTTTTCAACCCTTTGATAGTAAAAGTACTGTAAAGCTGTTATTTTAAAAAAATTGTATATTTTTAAAGTATAAAAACATTATTGTCAATCTAACAACACAGCCTCGATTTTTTTAAAAAGTGCATCAGGGTCGCAAATATATTTTTTAGAAAAAGCATTACAAAAATGCCTGTTTTGGTTTTCGAAACATAGTGAACGGCTAAAAAAATCAAATTGAAATTGTTTTCTTTATTACTTTTAAGTTTCAAGAGCCAAATTTGCAAATTCATCTTTTTACTGCCAACTAACTAACATTCGGTCTGCCAAAATGAAAATTTCAATTTTTGCTTTGACAGTCTATCTTAACAAGTGAATAATTGAGAATATTAATGGTTAAACGATTTTGATAGAAAATATCTAAAACTGGTCTAGTTTCTAATGCTCCTTTCGGTTTTTGAGTCCGAGAAAAAAAATTCAGCATTTTTTCCTGCCACAAAAATCACTCCGTTATTTCTGGTCACCCTGTAGTAACAGCAAGGCTTTTCCCGGCCGACTGCTAAAAGCCTTGTATCTTAGTCAAGAGGTCAAGGGTTCAATCCCGCGGGCTAGATTATTAGCCCTTTCTCCCATATATATATGTTGTGTCCGATTTAAATTTCCGTCCGATTTAGATTGAACTTATCGCGGACGTCCGATTTAGATTACAGTCTATATCGGACGTCCGATTTAGATTCAATCTAAATCTTATATAGATTGAACAATAATATAAACATGCTTAATATATGTTCTTAAGCGTTTTCTGTAGTTTTCTGCATTTTTCAAAGGTCTGTTACTGTCTTTTTCTGAAAAGAAAACCCAACTATGAAACAATTTATTAGCGTTAACAGAGTAGATGCGAAATTACAACATACAACAACAAAAAACCAACAACAACAACGAACGAGTTAAAAATTTCTATTTATTTTTGCAGCTTAGGCTATTGTGACATCTTGAATTGCAGAGTCGGTCATCCTTTTTGCAAGAACATCGATTGGATGAGCATTTTCCAGCACATAAGCAATGTTTATGGCCTAATGGAACAGGCAAAAAATGAAATAAAGTTATAGTTACTTACCTTGTTTCCCGTGAATAGAATAATCATGAAAATGCAGAAAACTACAGAAAACGCTTAAGAACATATATTAAGCATGTTTATATTATTGTTCAATCTATATAAGACGTATTATTGTTCAATCTATATAAGATTTAGATTGAATCTAAATCGGACACAACATATATATATATAGGTTTTTTCTTCCTTACATTTAGGGCTTAGGAGTTGTGCTTGTGTATTGTTTGTACCACATTATTCGTGTGAAGAAATGTTTTTTTATCAGTTCTCATTTAGTCTCTCCGGCCACATGGAAAAACGCCGACTATGACGATGAGCCATGGACTTCAATGTGTCCGGTTGGTTGTGTAGTTGTTAAATTGAGAAATTACAAGCCTTTACGAAGAGCCAGAACTGAATCTTTTTAACTGGAAAATCAAGAAAAAGAGCAGATCGCCACAGCATGCGCGATTTGAGTGCATTTTAGGACTTAAAACTGTGTTTTCACAAAAAAAAACAATTACAAGGGTGATTTAGTTGAGATTTTCCGCTTTCGAATACTATATAATACGTGGTACTTGTGATGGAAAATTTCTTGGGAAAAACTGTTCTTCTGAAAGTTATCGCCATAGCTGTTGAGCCTGTTGGCGCCATCGCCATCTGTATAGCTGTTGAGTTCTTTGAGTGACTCTATAGGAGATCTGAGTTCAAATATCATAATAATACGAACAAGAATATCAAAGCTAAGAACATAAACAATCAAACAAACAATTCAGATTCGCGGTTTCCCCTTGGATATTGCACATACATTAGCGACCGCCGACGGACTACTTGATCTGTTGAGGAATCGGGTAAGGAAGCATGACATTTTCATTTGTCTGTCTGAATTTTTCTTTTAAAATTTTACCTCACAAATTCAGTTCTAAATTTAGAATCCACTGCCGATGTCAGTGCGAACCTTCCACGTGAGAAACGTCACTGCAGATGACATGGTATCCTTCAATTTTCAAAGCGTTCAAAAATTTTATGTTCTTTCAGGATCAACTCCACTACATCTTTGGCTCAAGTGATTCAAGCAAAAATGAAGAGCTTTTTGATAGGTTTCTTCTTTTCAAAGTTCAATCGGTTTATGACGAAATTTGCAGATATTTTGGACCGTATCTCTTTTCCGTCAGCGAGCCTCAATTTGGGTTTATTTCGTATGAGGAGTGGAGTGAAGAGGATGGAGGAGAGCTGAAATTTCCACACTGCGCTGTGGCTGGTATTAGAGATGGTAGGTATTGGAATTAATAATCACATTGCAAGAGAAAGAAATAAACACTCAACAATCTGGGCTTAAGTTTTGATATAGAAAAGTTTACAAATCCCAATCTCGTCTCTAATGATAAAGCTGTTCAAAACTCAACATAGACTTTGAAAATCGGCTAGATAAAGTATCAGATAAATAATCAGCAAACTTTCTGACTTTCTATCTCTTATCTTTCTTCCTTTCTTCCTTTCTTCCTTTCTTCCTTTCTTCCTTTCTTCCTTCCTCTTCCTCCTTGTATTTCCTCTTTCTTCTCTAGCAAGAAGATACCGGATAGCTCAGTGGTTAGAGCAATTGCCCAAAAAGCAAAAGGTCGAGGGTCCAATCCCCTCTCCGGAAATCTTTCTTTACCATTCTTTATTTTACTTTATTAAAACATTACACCCAACGGAGAGTTGTACAGGGCTAATGATAGCTAAAGGCTTGTTAAACTATTGGGCTAACAATAAAAACCTAATCGGACTTTTTCAGAGTAAGAAATCCAAATTTGGCATTAGCTTTTCAAAAACTTAAAGCTTGATTTACTTAGCTTAGTTAAAGCTTGAGTTATTTAGCTTAGTTAAAGCTAAGATCTTTAGATACTTTACCAACAAAAACTCTGGACCTAATTCGGGTGTAAAATTTTGAAAAAGTAAAAATGCCGTTGTGTTAATAAAATGATGTAAGAATTAATCTAATCTCTAATCTAATTTCAATTTCAAAGTTTCTTTTTCTTTTCAAATTCCAAATATTTCAGTCGGTGCCTATTTGGGCACTTTGTGGGTGGAGTACAGCGAGATGATGTTTGTGAAGTATTGCTCGACGCGGAACACAAAAAACGATAAAGATCAGGTGGAAAGTTTGGCGCAAAAAAAAGCCCCAACTCAAACTATATGACTTCGATAATAGAACTCTTAATCTTGTCTTTTCATCAAAAAGAAAAATGGTTTAGAAGGCGGTGCGGGAAGAGATCGACTCATGGAAGCCCCCGATGATCTCATCAGAAATTCTTTCGAAATTTCCATCGAGAATCGTAAGTTTTAGAAAAATTTTTCTCTGAAAAGGGGCTTCTCTTGAAAGGGAAAAGTGAAATAATTTCCAAAATTAAACCACCAAATTTAGAATTTGCATGCGAAGTGTGGTACGGATGATGCGGTTGCGGCGAAGAGAGTCATTCAAACGCTGGCTACTGTACTCACATATTCGGGTGTGTTTGAAAGATTGAGCAAATGAAAAGTGACTTTTATAATTGACTCAATACATATTTTCTATCTAAAAGGTGTAAAGAAAACTATTGCACTCTAGCATGCTTTTAGAAGATTACGGTAATTGATTAGTATTGGGTTGGCGAATTAAAAACTGCGGGACTTTGAACTAAAATTTATTCAACATAAAACCATCAATTCATTCCAAATAATTTCCATTATTATTGACGACTTCTGCCCATTTTACAGGCAATTTGCGGATTCCTCTTTCGTAGTAGGATTTTGGTTTGTGTGAGACAAGTGTGAGACTCAAAAATCGAGGACTGGAGATGTCCCAGTTTGAGCTCTTTCTTCAAAAGAAACTCATTTTGGTGTCAATAGAAAAGTTGTAGAGAATCAAAAATTAGGCTTATAGCCAAATTTCCAAAAAGATACACTTAGTAGTTTCGCTTAAACTGCAAGTTTTGTGAAAATTCGTAAATTTCGCATTTCTTGAAAACCAGTTTTTGAATCGTTCTGAAAATTTGGATATAAGCTTCATTTTTGATTCTCTACAACTTTTCCATTGACACCAAAATGGGTTTCTTTTGAAGAAAGTGCTCAAACTGTGACCTATGACAATAGCCCGCAGTTTTCAATTCACCAACCCAATAGATTTCAATTGATTAGTAGATCTCAATTGATTAGTAGATTACGGTAGCTAAACAGATCTTTAAAAACTTAACCGGTTTAAAAATGTCTGAGAACAAGCTTTAGAATAAAAATCTATATCAAATAAAGCTATAATTGGCTACAAATCTTCAGAAAGATAAACTAGAAAGATAAACTAAATAAACAGCTGGAATAGTAGAAAACCTACTACTTTAGCTTTATTTTAAACACTCAATATTAGATTACGATAGCTAAACACGTCTCTCGAAAAACTGAAAGCTGTAACAGAGCTAACAATCTGTAACAGAGCTGTAACAGAGCAATTCAGGATCGATCGGTGTCCACATTTTGTGTCAACCGGACGACTATCAACAGATCTCTTTCTTGGCCAAGTTGAACTTTGAACTGATCCCCTCTAAACGAAACGATGATCTCGAAGTGTACGCTCTTCCATTGGGCGGCTTTTTTCATTTTCCACCGATTCTCCAAAGCTTAAACGCGGTAAATCCAGCCGAGAAAAGACCTGATGAAGAGATGAATCCATGCTAGTCCTTGCTCATCATTTATTTATTTGAGGTCTGATAGAAAAGCTGAACAAATACTAAATTCTAGTATTTTGCATTACTATAATACAGTATTAGGAAGTTAAACCATCCAGAAATCTAAACTCGGTATGAGTGGAGTGTTTTCTTTTCCTAGAACTTGTCAAAAACTAGCGTAATCTTGTCTTTCGTTTCTTTCAAAGTATTTATTGTTTCATTTTCATTTGTAAATCGATACAAGATTGCAAAAACCGCGACAAGAATACGATGAAAAGTTGAAAAGGTTTTAGGAAATCTAATCGCTAAAGAAAAGTAACACTTCATGACGCTATTCAAAGCTCTTCTACCAGATCTCAAATCCACACACTTGTCTATATTCTATATTCTAGATTCTAGATTCTATAGTCTATAGTCTATAGTCTATAGTCTATATTCTATAGTCTATAGTCTATATTCTATATTCTATAGTCAATATTCTATATTCTATATTCTAGATTCTAGATTCTAGATTCTAGATTCTAGATTCTAGATTCTATAGTCTATAGTCTATATTCATAGTCTAATTCTATAGTCATAGCATATCATATTCTATAGTCAATATTCTATATTCTATATTCTAGATTCTAGATTCTAGATTCTAGATTCTAGATTCTAGATTCTATAGTCTATAGTCTATATTATATTCTATTCTATATTCTAGATTCTATATTCTATATTCTATATTCTAGATTCTAGATTCTAGATTCTATAGTCTATAGTCTCTAGCCTATATTCTAGATTCTTTAGTCTATAGTCTATAGTCTATTCTAGATTCTAGATTCTATATTCTATAGTCTATAGTCTATATTCTATAGTCCATATTCTATATTTTTTCAAATCCATCCACTATTCCAATCTACCTGTAAAGTCATTTTTGCACAATACTCACTTATCTCTTGCACAAGTACCCTGTAAATTTTCGAAACTCCTTTGTGATTCTCTTGAAAACATTTCAACGTTGAAAACGCCCAAAAACTCGATTCTTCAACCCAACTTTTGAGCTTAAATTCTATTTATTTTTACATATATTGTCCATTTTTAAAGCTTCAGCTTCCCAAAAGGTTTACCGTATTTTCTCTAATAGTAGTGCACCCAAAGCGTTGCCTAAATTGCTCGAAGCCTCGAGAACCGCTCATCAGAACCTATCGATGTGGGGTCGGAAAATGTAGCTGACGATGAGATCTAGTGGAGGATTAGAGTGTTGAGCTTCTGTGAAAGCTTGGAAACCGTAAAATAGTCACCAACTCGGCTCGCCGGGGTGCACTACTATTTGAGAAAATCCTACCCATTTTTCTGTACACTAAGTGTCATTTTTCACTTTTTCGTAAAGCAAAAAGATAAATTTTTTGCAAAAAATCTTTTAACAACTCAAACAAAAGCTGCAATTTATTCAGAAACAGAAAAAAAGACACAGCAAGACAAGGAAAAGATAGCCAGGCAATTTAAGAAAATCTTTTACAATGAAATCTTTCGGGTTTTTATCCAAGTCGCATCATTCCCCGTTTCCCCATTCGCATGAGACCGCGTTTACCGAGACGGAGAGGGCTTCGCTTGGGCATCATGTAGAGGCTGGAAGTTGATTTGATCATGCAAACTTGAAATGCGATTCGATTGACTGGCTCGACATGAGCCAGTGTCTGAACTATAGTATTTTAACTTTTGTACCAGTTTTTTAAGGCTACTAGTGACCGTATCGTCGTGAATAACGATTATTTTTGGTGTTAACTCAAGTTTTTCAGTTTTTGTTATTTATTTCGCAGAAAGTTCTCAGCAACTGTGTACTAGTTTTCAAGAGGAGATTGGGGGCTATCAAATGACTAGAATCGTTTCGTTTATCTTTGAATGCTCACCAAGTTATCAGCAAAAACAGTTAACGGACTACGCGACTGTACGCCCAAAATAGCGGGAAAATACACTACTGGACAATGAAATATCATATTTGAAAAAAGATCGTCACTTTCGCGCGTCTATAACTCCCTTGTCTTTACCGTATTTCTAAATATGAATATTACCATTGTGTAGCCCTTGAAAAGAGCTTTCAGAAAATGTATAACACTAATATTAGGTGTGTGAAAAAGTAATCCACGTTTTTTATTTTTATCTGATGACCAAATAAGACGCTGTCTTCTCGAAAACTCTCATTCAACCTCTTCAGAAATAGGCCTTACATTAAATTGTGATGGGTCAACCGTAAGGAAACGCTTGAATGCCATGAATTTTATCAAAAAGTTGGACAAATGGATACCGCATGAACGATAGCGCGCGACCACATGTCTCTTTACAGACTCGACAAAAAATCCAGAGTGTTGGATGGGAGGTTTTACCACATCCACCTTATAGTCCAGACGTTTCTCCATCTGATTATTATTTATTTTTGTCTCTGTCTAACTTTTTGGCCAATAAACGGTTCAATTCCGAAGAAGATGTCAAAACTGAGGCTGCTCTTTTCTTCGCCTCTATGGACCAAGATTTTTATTATCGTGGAATTTCTTTACTTGTAGAACGTTGGCAAAAGGGTGTTCTTTCGAATGGTGATTACTTCGTTGAATAAAAATTATTTTTAACGAAACTTATGGCCTTTTATATTTAAACGTTAAAAACGTGGATTACTTTTCACATACCTAATAGTTTAAACTGAAAGACAATGGAGTTACAGACGCGCGAAAGTGACGATCGTTTTTCAAATATCATATTTCATTGTCTAGTACTGTATGTGTGAAAAATGATTCATTCATTTCGATTTCAAACACCCAATACCAAGACTCACTTCTCATACTGTACTCCTTGTGGCGAGAGCTCCTCGACGAGAACTGCATCTGAAAAAAGAAAAATGTAAAAATCATATTTTAATCGAATATTTTTCTCATAAACAAGCTTTGATCCTTTTAGTTTATCCAACAAATCATATTTAATTAAAATTCAATAAAGTCTAGAGCTTCACTAGAGTCGTTTAGAGCTTCCCTTTTTCTTTTAATCTTCTCTAAAATTTCAAAGTTCTTCGAAAACCAAAAAACCGAAAAAAATTTCTTTGTTTTAGAAACCAAAAATTTCTTTGTTATCTTTTGAAATATTACCGTATGCTGGAAATGCTTGAGACGAGATTAGGAATAGGGAAATCGAGAAGAGAAAAATCCATCGAGAAAGCAGCGATCCAAGCCACCGTAGTGTCATTTTTACCTGAAACGCTAGAAAAGTTGTTTTGAATGGGGAGATGAAAATGAAAATGTCTTTTTTATGCTTTTATTGGGTTGGGGAGAATGAGTCGGCGCCCAACTTTAAAGGGACTTTTTGCACACATAAAGCCTTCTTTAAACATACGTTTGGTTTCATCAAAAGGATCCACTATTTCTCTACAAAATGACTTTTGAGAGATTCCACAAAGCTTTTCTTTCGTGGAGTTTATGAACTTCCAAACGCAGCTGGTTAAAATGGCAAAGAGTCCGACTCATCATTTGAACAGTTTCTTTCACATAAACCTTCTTTGGTGTTTATATAAAAAAGATAGAGCACATTCAATTACTTAAGTTGCCAAATTTGCAGGAAGATCCCACCAATGGTTTTTTCTAGATCACAGTTTGTAGTTTTTGTGAAAAAATGGCTTTTTCTTGAGCGGAGGCGCTGTTTGAATTTTCTTTTAAATGTCATTTTGTAGAGAATTAGTTAACCATTCTACTCATATCAAACGCATATTATTTGACGAAGTCGAATTGAAGTTTTAGACATTTTTTTCATTTTCGGCGCCGACTCATTCTCCCCAACCCAATAGAATAGTTTAAATAACATTTTCAATATAAAAATAAACAAAAAATGATTCGTTTAATGTTTTTTTTTTTCAAACAATATTTCAAAAACAAACAAGCAAACAAACAAACAAACGACAACAACAATTTTTGAATTCAACAATGCTTTGTTTCACATTACGAGACAAAACATAAGCATCACAGTAGTGTTTGTCGAAAAAAACCGTTATAAATGTCTTATTGTAATGATGAATCTTGGTTAAGAGGCTTAAAGCGTAACTCAAAAATTATTGAGGCAAATAAAAAGAACAATTGAAACGTTAGATTCACTAAAGTTCTCTTTTTGGAAACATAGTTACATAAATTTGACAAATGAACTGATATTGACAATATTTGACAGATAAAACTGAATATTTAAATGGAAAGCTAAATTTTCCAGCGGAAAACGCTCACTAACGTTCGCGTTCGTGTTCGCCATCTAAGCCCCGCCTCTTTTTGCCAATGGCTGCGCACAGGCGGACAGACCGACGGATGAACAGACGGATGAACAGACGGATGGACAGACGGACAGACGGACAGACAGACAGACGGACAGACGGACTGCTTCAGATAAAGTATTAGGTTGTTCCGATATAAACGAGCGTTTGCACTGCTTAACTCGTGAGGAAGCCATTTCCCGCATCTCATCGCCTTTCCAATGGCGTGGAGATGCTCATCAATGGTAGAATTTGAACATAGGAGCTGTTGAGCAAGTTCACGCGTCGTTTGACATGGATCCGATTCGTTTGCAGCCCTCAAAATATCGTTGTCTACCGCTTGAGGTAGACAACGATATTCTTGACGAGAGTGTTCATCATCCTCGAGATTTTCATCACCATTCTGAAAGCGTTGGAACCAGGCTCGGCATCGGCTTTCAAACAATACACCATTCCCAAATGCTTTGACCAAATCGCAATGGAATTCCGCGACTGTTTTGCCCAGTTTGAAGTCGTAAAGTAAACGAGAACTTGACGCGTAAAGCAGACGCGAACTTGGTTTTTGAAGTCGGTCATCTAAAGCAAGAAAAAAGTTCTTAAAAATAAGAAATTATCCGTTTAAAAAGATTCCAAATCTACACAAGATAACGTACTTTTAAATACAGAAAGATATGTTTTAAAAGCTTCTCTCACAACAAAAAGTTTAGCAACGCTTGTTTATATCCGAACAACCTAATAGATAAACTTAAATGATAAGAACAATGAAAGAGTATAGCTAACAAGGGAATGACACCAGCTCGAAGTTCAGAATCGCTTCGCAATCGAGATCTCAGAGATCGAGAGCATCTCATAGAATCGGCTATGCTGATTCTGAAGCTGGAAAAATATCCAGGCAATTGCTAGGAATCTGTCAAACATCCAGGCAATCGCTAGGAATCTGGCATAGAAAATTCCCTTGAATTTCCGACTCTTCATCGCCAAAAAGGAATTCTTCAATGGCTTCGGTGGTTTAGGGGATAGTGTGCTAGTCTACGGAAGTCACTAGTGCTAGTGCTAGTCTACGGAATTCCTATCAACTTTTTGGCTGGTTCGAATCCTCCCATCCCCATTTCTTTTTGCTTTTTTTGGAAAATTCTTTTTCTGATGCCTTTACATTAAATATTGATGTTTCATGCATCTTTTTGCGACTTTTAACGGTTTTTTAAAACTTGTAACTCTCAAAATAGTTCAACGTATGAACCTATGAACTTCAAAATGCAAGGAGAAGGCGCTTTATTGATTCTCATATAGTAACAATGCAAAATTTCGCGTTTTTTTGCATTAACAAAATATTTTGTTGTACAAAAAAACATTGCTTTTATTGCTAGAGATAGTAAAGTTTTGAACTAATAGTGCCAGAGTTTGAAAAAGGTAGATGAACTCCAAAATGACTCTATAAACAAATTTCATCCCTTCAAAAGTCGCAAAATGGCGTATATATTTAATGTAAAGGCATCAGAGAAAGAATTTTTCAAAAAAATCAAAGAGAAATGGTCAGGAAAGGATTCGAACTCAAGCCAAAAAGTTGATAGGGGTTCCGCAGACTAGCACACTATCCGCTAGACCACCGAAGCCTAGACCACCGAAGCCTAGGCTACCGATCACGAAGCGATTCTGAACTTTGAGCTGGTGCCATTTCCTTGCAAGATTTTACCTTGCAATAGAAAAGCGCTGGGGAAAAAGAGCGTTTGATGTAAGCTGGATGAGAGCTCTAGCAGGCAAGCAAGCTCTAGCTATAGGATGAGAGCTCTAGAAAGCCAGGAAGCAAGTTCTAGCTATAGGATGAGAGCTCTAGCAAGCCAGCAAGCTCTAGCGAGCTCTAACCTTAGGATGAGAGCTCTAGCAAGCCAGCAAGCTCTAGCGAGCTCTAGCTATAGGTGAGAGCTCTAGCAAGTCAGGAAGCAAGCTCTTCTAGCTCTAGGATGAGAGCCTGCTAGAGCTCTCATCCAGTAAAGAACAATGAAAGTTTTTGCGCAATTCTCATCTTCAAAGATAAAGAGAATCATAAAACTCGTGATCAACAAATGTTAAAATAAGAAAATTTTCCAATTTCTCAAATCTTCGTGGGATTTGGGATGGGGAAAGTCCAACCCCAAAGAAGCCCTATTATTTTAAGCCCTCCCCGATCACGAAACGGATTAGACTACCGAAAGAATTCGTTGTACCACTTTTTCGGTCGGAAAATTTCAAAAATGCGTAAATTCAATAAAAATACAATAACAAAAAAACTTGCAGTTAAAGGGGAAAAAGTTTGGTTTCCGCCCACTTTTTTCATCAAATTCGGCGATTATTTGGCTGAAGAGAGATCAAGGATTTATTGGTGGATTGAAAGTTGGAATATTGAAAAGCAGGAAAGGATGAAATTGATGGGAAACTTGTAATTTTTCATTTAGACCAGATCAGCGACTAAGCTTTGACGGTTTTGCGTTTTGCGTGATTTTTGTAAATCCGTCGGATAGAGAGAAGTTTGCTTTGATGAAAAAGGAAGCAAAGCATTGATTTAACTGTTAGACGATTAACAAGTAGCAGTTAAAACACACTAAACAGAAAGTATGGAGATTGAAACCCAAGCTATATATAAAGCAGAAGAGTCGTCTGTCCGTCTGTCCGTCTGTGCGTAGCCATTGGCAAAATGGGGCGGGGCTTAGATAGCGAACGCGAACGTTAGTGAGCGTAAGTGAGCGTAAATTTAGAATTTCATTTAAATATTCAGTTTTATCTGTCAAATATTGCCAATATCAGTTCATTTGTCAAATTTATGTAACTGTGTTTCCAAAAAGAGAACTTTAGTGAATCTAACGTTTCAATTGTTCTTTTTATTTGCCTCAACAATTTTTGAGTTACGCTTTAAGCCTCTTAACCAAGATTCATCATTACAATAGGACAACGATATTTTGAGGACTGCAATCGAATCGGATCCATGTCAAACGACGCGTGAACTTGCTCAACAACTCCTATGTTCAAATTCTACCATTGATGAGCATCTCCACGCCATTGGAAAGGCGATGAGATGCGGGAAATGGCTTCCTCACGAGTTAAGCAGTGCAAACGCTCGTTTATATCGGAACAACCTAATACTATATCTAAAAGCAGAAGAGTCGTCTGTCTGTCTGTCCGTCTGTCTGTCCGTCTGTCTGTCCGTCTGTCTGTCCGTCCGTCTGTCTGTCCGTCTGTCTGTCCGTCTGTCCGTCTGTCTGTCCGTCTGTCTGTCCGTCTGTCCGTCTGTCTGTCTGTCCGTCTGTCTGTGCGCAGCCATTGGCAGAAAGAAGCGGGGCTTAGATGGCGAACGCGAACGTTAGTGAGCGTTTTCCGCTGGTAAATTTAGAATTGCATTTAAATATTCAGTTTTGTCTGTCAAATAGTGTCAATATCAGTTCATTTGTCAAATTTATGTCAAGCTATCGTTGGCTACTTTAACTGAACCAACTGATAAAGAAAGGTCACAAGACTGAAGTCGACAAATGACAAAACATCATATGATGCAGAATTTTACTGATGCTGCTATCGGTGTGGCCTTGTGGTGTAGTGGATAAGAGTCTTGTTTCCGGAGCAAGCTAATAAGTTCAACTACTCTATAGTCACAAAAAGAACCAGGAAATGGGTTTCGGGATAAATCTTTAATCCGAAAGTCCCATATTAGTCGATTGGCTTCTAGACTATGAAGAGATGAGTTCGGAAAAAGAATGGAGGAACAATTTTAAGTGGGTAAATTGGGTAAAAAAAAACAACCTGGGTAAATTCTTGTTGCAATCAAGATCAAGAAATCAGATTGTATGGTGGTCTTCAGATTCTGAAAGGTGACGTTTGAGTCTTCTCAAAAGCAGCACGAACATCTCCGAATGACCAATTTCAGTTTCATTTCGGTTGTTGCATGCATTTTTGAGCCTTTCTATTTTTGGGGATGGGTTGAAGTTGA